TTATCGTGTTTTTATCGTTGGAAAAGTGTGCCAATATTACTCTACGAGTGGTAATGCATCGTTTACAGTCAAGCAATTTCAAATCATGGGAGCAGATTCAGAGAACATAGCTAACAAAAAATGGGCTGTTCCCTTTTATAGTATAGACTAGCAAAGTACCCGTCCTTCGGACGGTGGGAATTCATGAATGAGTGTATTAGTGTTGTAGCTCACCTAAGGATCAAGGGCTTCTTTGTAAAGTATGTTTTTGTTCTTCGCGTGATGTGTGTGAATGTACATCGCCCTGGGTTTGCCTACTTGTGAGAGGGCAACATAGAGCATGCCATGGAAGAAGACAGGTGTGGTCAGGCCCAAGCCTATGGTAGTGAAAGTCTATGGTAGTGATGCTCACGGGTGCGGGCATATGCTGTGAATGTAGAGATTCATGGTTTAGCTGAGAAGAAGTACTTTGAAGAAGTAAAATAGAATACAAAATTTTATTTGATGAGATTTACAGGTGATGGACACTAAATTACAGAACTTCATGGTTTTACCAACGGTAATAACAATGGTTGACGTAAACAGAGTCTGATTTCCCTTGAGTTTGATTGTAAGTAGTTTTCAGTTGAAGCTTTATCTCAGCGAAAGATTTAGCGCGTAAGAAGTCAACGTAAAGTTGGCCATGAGAGAAGACGGGTTTTGGGAGGAAAATGCCCAGCTTCTTGAAAGTTTGACCTTGCGCTTTATTGATGGTGATGCAGTAAGCCAAGCGAATATGGAACTGGCGGCGTTGAAGTGTAAATGATAGCTTGGCATCGGATGGAGCTAATATTATCCTGGGTATTAATGTTTTTTGTCTACTGCGAGGGCCGGTGCGTATTTCTGCATCAAGTACGTGTGTGTGAAGTCTACGGATTTTGAGTCTAGTACCATTGCAGAGTCATTCTCGAATATTTAGATTTAGTTTTCAGTGATAGTTTCTATGAGTTGTTTGTCAGTAGTTTAAATATGGTTTTCGGGGGCGGAGATTTTATCGCGAACGTCCTTTTTAGTTTCATGTAATTGCCTGACTGCCTGGGACATGAGTAACTGAAACTAAACCTTCGGACGGTGGGAATTCATAAATGATTGTATTAGTGTTGTAGCTCACCTAAGGATCAAGGGCTTCTTTGTAAACTATGTTTTTGGTCTTCCTGTCCTGTGTGTGAATGAACATCGCCGTGTGTTTGCCTACTCGTGAATGGGTAACATAGAGCATGCCATGGGAGAAGACAGGTTTGGTCAAGTCCAAGCCTATGTGAAAATCTGTCATTGGGCTTTGTTTATTGTCATAGCATAGCAAAGGCGGATAGAGAATTGCAGTCTTTTAAATTGAAATGGAAGATCTGATGTTGAAGGGATGAGGAGTGGTATATGCGTGGTATGAATACGGTTTTGCCAGTTGCTGGTACATGTAGGATGATGACGTCTATGACGTTGGCATGGCAGGCTATGATAGTACAGTAGATTAGGAAAAAATCGTTCAAATTGTGAAAAAAGTATGAAAATTGGTACACTTGCATACTTTTGTATGCTCTTTCATTTAAAAGCAGGACACACGCGATCCAACTACAACTTCGGCCGCCATCTTGAATTTAAAAATGGCCGCCGTCATTTCTTAAAAAATAGCTATATCTCGGTTAATAATCTTCGTACAGACTTGAAAATTGACTGACAGACGTAATTTGGGTTAAAGCAACATATAATATTGGCGAAATGGGAAACTGGCGAAGTGGGAAAATGGCGAAATGGCGAAATGGGAAACTGGCGAAGTGGGAAAATGGCGAAATGGCGAAATGGGAAACTGGCGAAATGGTTAATGGCGAAATGGCAAATGGCGAAGTGGGAAAATGGCGAAATAGAAAGACTTTTAGCTCAGCGGCGTTGGCGCGCGCCGAATGCGCACCGTGTGCGGGGGTCTTTACAGTCGTGTATCTAGCCATAGCCGAGTAGCCCTTCGCTCCCGTTATAGGACTATATACGAACAGCGATATGATGGAAAACGGCAGTGAATCTTTGCAAAACAGCAGGCGCTGACTCGTGCCCGCTCACTTTAGTGTCCCCGCTATTTAAATCCGACATTGCGACGTAGAAGTGTTTTTGATTCGTTTGCGTTTGATAAACGGCTTATCGAGCAAAATTACGGCGAGTTGAGTTTGATTTTAGCGTCATCGGCTAAAGTCAGGACGATTATGTCGTTGGCTACCGGATTTTTTCTGTTGTATCGCGGACTCTAAATCAGCAGACCATGCCACAGGGACTCCCTGCTGTCGTTTCCCCCTCATTGTTGTTCATATATCTCTGTAGCGGCAGCTAGCCGATGAGTGTTCGTTTTGCAGAACAATGGTGGGAAAGCCGGATCCGAGTGGCAAGTGGTAGACGGACGAGCGCATCTAATAAGCTCCGGCTTCAACGCAGTGTGGGTCATCAACCTTAAAGGTCTTCGAGTCTATTATCTAAATGGTATATATATTAATTTTTCATCTCTAATGATACACGATGTATATTCTGAGATGAAGGTTATAACGCTTGTGTATTTTTTGGGTAAGTTAATTCTGTACAAATGTTTCAGTTTTTGACGACGACGTGGTTTTCTCGTGGCGCGGTTCTTCTGTGTCATGGCATAACATATATAATGGCTCATAACAAATATATGCGGATCATTGCAGGCATATCTGATGCGAACCCGATAGGAACTTCCTGGAACAGCTTAGACGGTTCCTTCATTTGGATCAGTGTCAATTCCGCCAACAACGAGCTGTGGGGCTTAACCGATCGTCAGGAAGTTGTCCGCCGTCTGGGTATATCCGCGACCGATAACGTCGGTGTGGGCTGGTCAGGCGTACTACAAGAGGCGATTAAGGTGGTGTCCGTTGGTCAGGCAGGAGTCTGGACAGTAAATAGTACGAACGTTGTCTTCTACAGAATCGGCACCGGAAACGGAATCGGAGGTGAAGGTACGTGATTAAGTTCGAGTTTGTGCACGCTACAAACAGAAAGTGACTTCGTGGTAATTAGTTGTTTTTAATTAGTGTTAATTAATGATGAGTTATTTATAAGTGTAGATTGGGCGATATATTGTATTGGTATGTAAATATCGGACGTTACGTCGTTGTGTTTATAGATCTGTGTGTAGCGCGTAGTGTGTAATGTGATATGTGTGTCGTATGTGTAGATCTCGTGTCAAACACAGAAAAAAAGGCAAGTATACCGCGATATGAGCAGTGTCAATGGTTGCCGACGCGGTGGATGGTATCTGTCACTGCTTTCTCCGCTCGTGCGCGGCGGG